TACTGTACTGGACCTTAAGATCCTTACCTTTTTTATGATACATACAAATAAAACGCCTGTTAGGTGATTGAAATCACTCATAACTTGTCTAGGAGGTTAAACTCATGCATATGAGTTTTAACAAATCCATGGGTTTGAAATCAGCCGACCTAATTTATAATGATAAAAAGATTTTTCTATCCCTAATCTAACAAATTACAAAGGATTGGATATGACAATTTAGCCAATTACATAACTAATTATAATTATAATTAATTCATGAGTTTGGCATGTATTTATGCTGTTTATCAAACAAATGATTGGATAGGAGTTATGTATTAAAATCCACGTGAATACTTTGAATCATTAGTCTAATTTGATCCCACTAATTATCGAATAATTTGTTCCAAGATTTTACGAAAGAAAATACGGAGGGAGATGATTATCTTAATTAAGGTGTTATCAAGATGTATCCCCTTAAAATTGTCTAAGTTGAATTTACCTTAAAATCCCTTAATCTCACTCCATTTATCCAGGGGAAGAACTAGGTTCAGGCCTTGAGTCTATGTATGGTTGCTAGGAGTTGTCAAACGTGTCGGATTAAACAGGTGATGGGTAGAAAACATATAAACCTATACATGACACGTTTAATAAACGGGTAAAAAAATTTAACACGAATACGACTTGTTTAATTTAAAAAAAATTATATTAACAAATTTTAATACTTCATTTTTTTTATTGTCAATTGCAATTATCTTGAAAAAGAGGAATTTTTAGTCAAATTTCATTAAAATAAAACTTGAAGGCTTTAAAAAAAAAGCAAGAAACCATTGTTTTTTATAAGCAACTCAACCCTCCCTATTTCCTCTCATTTTTCAACGTGGAACAAAAATAAAAGACATTAGTTTGCCTTTGTCTTTGAAATGCTTCTCATCTCATCTTTTTTGTCTTTGAACTACTACTTTATTTTTTTTAATTGAATTCTTGATTTCTTTTTTTTTTTTGCTATTTTTTTAAAATAATTATTAATTTATTATTATATTAATTTTATTTAAACGGGTAAACGTGTGATAAACGGTTTGACAGGTCTTATCCGAACACGACCCATTTATTAAATGTATTTGACGTGTCAACTCGTTTATTATCTAAACCCGTTAAAACCTCGTCAAAATCCGCTTAATTAATAATAAAAATTAATTAACAGCTCTAATGGTTGCCAATGCTGTTGCACAAGAGTAGGGTACCAAAAGAACAATTAATAATAAAAATGGTAAAAACAAGTGATAAGGGCCTTGTTGTAATTCTTGATAGGTGGTGGAAATGGGAAGAAAACTCACTGTTTCATGTAGGGTTCATTGGATTAATTATGGGGGACAACGAAGCAACTCATGAGCATTTCATAGACATATTGTTGATGATGAATGGGCCCATTATCATATTTTTTTTTTGTCAACGATTAAAGGTATTTGAGGGATTTAAATGATTTGACCTTAAAAAATTATAAAAATTTAAATTTCAAACATTTAAATTTACGTCGTTTCTCTAATTATGAGACAACTCATTACCAGTTTATTGACAGATTGGTGATGATGAAAAGGCCCACTATCATTGTGGTAGCCAGTTGTAGCCCTAACCCACTGAACTGAATTGCTTAGCTCATTATCCACTGCAATTTTTAAACACAGTGCATTTTTTTATTTTTATTTCATGATATGTTTATAAATTGTGTAATTTGTGTCGTATCAAAATTTATGTAATTTATACTTAATTAATTTAGTCATGTATAATCAAATTTGTGTCGTGTTAGATTTGTAACTTGTTGTTTTGCTTGGTTTATATCGTCTTTAACCTCCTTACTGAAGCAGGTAAGTTATTTTTATGCCGAATCTATTAAGACTAAATTTATGTCCACCAATTTCGGTTAAAATAGAAAAATGAGAAATTAGAAAAAAATTTAAAACGCATAATGTTTGATAGTAGCGGTTTTTAACGTCATGTTTGAATTGTTTGATTTTGGGTTTGTGTCATTTTTAATTTATGTTATTTTAAATTCGTGTTATGCTCATGTAAATCATATTCCACATTCAAGCAAATTCAAATCAAACCTTTTTTTTTTCTATCACAAATAATAAAATATAAGACCACAAATTAAAAAAAAAAATTAAAAATCCAGACTTATCTGTCATATAATGTCAATTAAGACCTTATCATGGTAAGTTGAAATCGTATACTCCCACACTTATTCGACTTGTTAATTGATTTTGTGAAAATTATCATACTTCAAATTTAGATCCCTTTTTCTAAAAAAAAAAAAAAATTTGGTTTAACAATCAAAAATGTCTGAACCAGTTTATACGCAACTAAATTAATTCACTCTCCAGTTTACTGAAAAATAGATCATCCACACCGAGATTAAAATATTTTTAAAAAATATATTTTTTATAATCTAACTCCAATAAATTAATAATATTCAAATTCAAAAAATCTGCATTTAAAAATCCAGATGCCTTTCAAGTTCATATGGGTTGTTACCATGGACTAGTAAGATAGGACACATTTTCATCAAATTTCCTAGTGGGGAATACCCAGCTACAATTAAATGGTTCTTTGCAAAATTGGGAAGTCCAGAAATGGGTGTACCCTTCAGATAGTCAATTCATTGTTCAACAGAATGTACAAATGCAATTATTATTCTGCCAATTTCTGGTTTTCTGTTTTGTTGTTCCTCTCACTCTCAATCATATTTTACCCCCAAATTTTATTAATTTTTAGATATTTTTATAACTTTTAAGGTTATTTTTATAATAAAAAAATTTATTATTTTTATGAATATTTTTATCATTATTGTGATAATTTTTTTTATTATTTTATGAATATAAAAAATTACCACATTTATAAATTATTTATCACTTTTATAGGTGTTTTTATTACTATTATGATAATTATTTTTACCACTTTTTTTTTGATACAAAAAATTATTAATTTTGTAAGTGAATTATCTTTTTTGTTAGTATTTTTATAACTTTTATGGGTGTTTTTATTAATATTTTTTCATACCACAATAATGATAAAAAAATTCACAAAAAGTGGTAAATATTAGTCAATATATATATTTTTTTGATACAATAGACAACTCTTAAAATCAAGGACTTGACTGTGGTATCTAAAAAGTAAATTTGGTACCATAGACAATTCCTTAAATCAAAGACTTGACTAGGACACCTTATAAAAAAAAAAATTGGGTACGGTACCTCTAAATTTTACTAAATTAATGAATGTTTTTATCATTTTATGTGCTATTTTACAATAATTTTTTTTTATATTCCCTGAACTTTCCTTCCGATTGGAGAAGTCCACGATACTCCAAAAAAAAAAAAAATGTCAAAAAAAGTTATCACAAAAAATATAAATAAATGGTAGCTCGGTACTGAATTTTTTTTTCTTTGGTCCTAAAATCAAAAGCAAAAAAAGGATAAAATTCCAAATCAATCTATTGTTATTATGCTAAAGAATAAAACACATAGTCGTGTTTACACAAAATCAAAACAATGGTCTAGATCGTTTAACTATAATTTTTTAATCATAATAACTAAACTTATTTACATTTAACATTTTAACCTCGACAAAAGACGTATTTTGCATAAGATACCCTAGTGCTCAATACATTTTATTGACCTTTTAATCTCGTAGTTATGATTTTAGTCACATAATCATTTAAAACAATAGACACTTTTGCGCTTCACGTTCGAATTTGCACATTGAGAATGAATTCTCCATTAATTCGCACTTTTACTAATATATTCTTACTCATTATTACTTAAATTTTTATTTAAAAAGTAATAACTTGTACATAAATATATATACCAAACTAGAATGATATTTGTAACTGATAATTGCTATTTCAAGACTTTATAAATCAATATATATATATATTAAAAAAATAAATAATTTGTCATATAGTTGTACATAAAATTTAAATTTTTATAAATTTATTTGTTTACACGTTTGTTGGTAAATATTTATGTTACGCATATTATGTGATGCTCCTGCTTTTGCTCTCACCGATGTTGCTCCCGCATGTAAATATTTGTACATTTTGTCTCTTTTACGCTCTTGCTCTCGCTGTCGCTGCTGCTCACTATGATCTAGGTTACAATTATATGCCTAGACATATAGTTAATGCTCGTGGTCTGGACCATTGTCGAAACCAAAATAATTATATCCTCACATTCAATGAACTACCAATTGGCCTGGTCCTGCAATTGGTCCAATATTATGGCCCTTTTTGAGTGCTGATTCATTGAATTAATAGAATCTCTTCCTAATCTCCAAAACGTCTTTACAAATGAGCGAAATTTGAATAACTTATGACTTCGTACAAATATACTCAACTCGACTATAATAGTTTATTATTCATACATAATTTTTTTTTTACTAAGTGACTTTTATTTGAAAATTAAAGAATCTCAAATGTATCTATAGCTTTAGATAATATAAAATTCTTTTTTATTCTTTACTCTTTAATGTATACATTTACAACATTGTACACATGATTTAATTTTTAACGAAAAATTAAGTTTAATTTCAACTCAAATGCTCGTAAATATCTTTTATTTTTTTATTTTGTGATGTAAATTCGGTGGTCACAAAGAAATGAAATTTAAGAATACTTGTTGAAAACTATTATTGAGTTCGAATTTTGATAAATTTTTAAATATTTTAATTTTGACGTGAATGTTTTTGATTAAATTGGAAAAGAAATTAATCGAGATGTGCGTAATTTAATTTGGACATCCTGAATTTTTTTTATTTTAAAAAAAAAAATACTTGTTGATATAAAATTCTGAATAAAATAATGGTAACCTATAAAGCGTAACTGCAAGGAAATGACGCATCAATATCTAACGATTAATAACAGTGTCCGGCTCGGTTCGCGTTCGGTCCCCGCCCTACTTCGCCACCCAACCCAAACCCCATCATCCATTACACTGCACACAATCTCTCTCTCTCTCTCTCTCAAGAAAACGTATGAGAGAGACGAAGAATAGGGGACCAGAGCAACGTAGCTTTCGCCGTACTGCAAATGCCCTCTCTCTCTCTCTCTCTGTTGATTAAAGGCTATGATTTCTTCCGCAGACGGGAAAGAGAAACACATTGACCACCATTGAACCTTAACCCTTTAGAAACTCTGAACAGAGAATAGAAACTCTCTCTATCTTTTCCTCTTTCTGCAACTGAAGAGATAGAAGTACAGTTTAGTACTTTCTGTCGTCGTTTCTTCAAATCAAGGTGTTGAAGCTCGGAACGCTTCACAGATTTGTTAATAAACTGGACAAGTTTGTGCTTATCCTGTCAATGTTGTGGTTGATTGTCATTTTTGTAGAGCGGAGGTTCAAATTGTGCTTGGCGGTGGAATTGGATTGAACTTGTTCAAATTGAGTGAAACGAATCTTCTAATGGAGCCAACTGAAGGAAGTCAGGTTAGATCGGCGAGTTGCGGAGCCAAATACGAAGACATCGGAGTCGAATCACTTCAATTCGGCGAAGAAATTAATCTGTTAATGTCAATACAACCACCGGAGACTGGTAGTTCCTTCACCGCTCTTCTTGAACTTCCGTCGAATCAAGCCATGCAGCTCCTAGATTCGCCGGAAACCAACGTTGCTCCGGCTACACTTTCTGGCTACCAAATTGAACATCCCAAAACTTACATGCCAATTTTTCCGTCGGACACTGCTTTAATTGACCGAGCTTGTAAGTTCTCTGTCTTTGCGACGACAGAAAATTCGCCGGAAACGAGCTCAATTCCGTTGAATTCGAGATCAAAATCGGATAAGGTGAAGCAAGAACCGGTCGATTTGGATTCAAACCCTAATTCTTCGCCGGCCGTGTCCGATTCAATGGTTTTGAAGCAGGATGAGAAATCATCAGCAAAGCGGAAGGAGCGAGAAAAGAAGGTAAAGCTTCCGAACTCCAAATGATGGTTTCTAGGGTTTCCGTTTATAGCAATCAATTTTTGCATACTAAGTTGATTTTTTTTTTTTTTTATGAAACTAGGGTAAAGAATCAAACAAGAAGAGCAAAAACGTAGCAAATGAGAATTCCCAAGATGGTGAAAAGCTCCCCTACGTTCATGTTCGAGCTCGTCGTGGTCAAGCTACAGATAGCCATAGCTTAGCTGAAAGAGTAATCTATCACACTCATTAAATCCTTCATTATATATTAACTATTAATATAAGTCCTTACTTTGATTGGTTGTTGATTAATTTTATGTTAATAAATAGGCAAGGAGAGAGAAGATTAATGCAAGGATGAAGCTACTGCAAGAACTGGTCCCCGGATGTAACAAGGTTAGTTGTCCTTTTCTTTTATATTAAACGTTTGGTTACGTAATACGAAATCTGTTTCGATTATGCCTTTACATTAGCCTTTAAAAATGAGGTTTATGTCATTGTCGCCTTTTTTAACAAAAAGTAGTTGCGCTTTTCATCCAAGAAAAGTGTTTGGTTGGTTGTTGAAATGGCTTTCTTGTAGTTTTCCACTAGTATGCTTATTTAATTTTTCACCTTTACAGAGGTATGTTAGAGTCCTTTATAAGGTCATTTTCGTCATTTTAATAACTGGGACGTTTTCTTCGCCATGGTCTTGGTCTTCTTTTTCTTCCCATTCCAGTATGGTGACATTGGTTATTCTTTTCAAATGTGTTTAAATTCAAAGTCTGTTAGATTGACCAAATGACCTAAATTATTTTAATCAATCTGCTTGGGTTAGTCGGTCTTAGGTTGGAATCTCTAGGCCAGCCTAACAAGCTACCCTTCCTCTACATCTGAGGTGTGATCTATATTTTTATGACTCTCACTTATTTATCCCGGCCCGAAAAAAGAGACAGACCCCTCCCTATTGACAACCGAAAGAAAGAGTTTATCATAAAGATGAAAAAAACAGATAACTCCTCTTACCGAAAAAACAGATAGATGACTCCCAATTGTGAAAAGAACAAAAATGGCTTTCATGGGTAGGCTTGAAGATGCACTTATTGGGGGATTGCTGGTGGCATGCTATAGGGACCAAAAAAAGATGGGAGAAGGCAAAAAAGTATGCAATATACTCCAATGAAGCTCTTGGGGCGCACGTAATTGACAAGTTAGATTGAATTTCTGAGATCCCAAAACTATTGATATTCTTAGTTTGTTATGAGGTGTTTAGCAGCCACTTGAGGGAGCATGGTACAAACGATAGTCTAATTTGGCTACTAAACTGAACTGTGATGATAAAAATGAACTTACTTCCAGAAAACCATAGACCAAGAGCCCAACACAAACTTTGTTTGGATATGATGTGATAGTTTCCAACTTCCCAACGGAGCAAATGTTCGAGTAGAATTTGACATGTGATTAGATCTGTACATTCACGAGATTTATTAATTGGTGCGTGTGAACTGCTGACCATTTCTGTGCTGTACTTCACTTGTTTTTGTGAGAAAGAAAAAGAAAAAATATGAGCAAAGCAGCTTTAATAATCAGAGCTGATGCATAATCCTTGAATCATTCAAGCTAATGCATAGTTTTCTGTTGGACCATCAATCATGATGATTTGAATCTTTAAAAGTCTGCTAGCGCTTCTATGACTGATTTTTTTGACATTAATGCTTCCAGGTCCCCTACCATTTAAAAGAAATACTGTCAGGTCTGGACACATGATAGCACTCTGTTTCTTGATCAATTGAGCATCTACAACAATATGGCAGGATCTGGCCACATAATTAAAGCTAGTTAAAACTAGGGGGGAATATGTAGTTATGTACTATATATGCAGAGTACTACCTCTGATGTACTATCTTTGGGAAAAGTTTAATTTGGAGGCAACCTTACTTGCTTATTTTCTTCTATACAACAACTACTTCATGTTGTCTGATTCATTTGTCCAGTTTTGGGAAATCACTTGTGGCAGACCTTAGGGCGATCAGTCTTGCCCGCCTCCATACCAGCTAGCAGTTTCTTTTAAGTAGTTACCTTTTTGATTCAAATTTTCATGGATGTGTGTACTCCACTTTTTTTCCCCCTGCATTCAGATGTATATTTACTATAATACTAATAATCATTTAAACATGAAGATTTGGTCATTGGATCCATATGTGGTCTTTTATGAATTTGTGATGAGATGAATCACTGGGTCTGTTGGAAGTCCTGCTCTTAAGTAGATATTGCATGCTTTTAATGGCCAGCGATAGGAGGAAAAAAAAGATTAACAGATTTCTTATGTGAAGTATCTTAGGTATAATTGAAATGCCTTTTCAGTGAAAAGTATCAATAAAAACCCAATTGCAGGAGCTTCCATTTTTGTTGAATTCAAGGCACTGGCATATGGCAGCATGACAGAAGCTCGCACTGGCCATTTTTTATTTTTCATGTCTTTGTATTAAAGGAAGTTGAATGCGTTACTTGCAGAATACTTTCCACTAGTTGGTAATTATGAAAAAATCAGTCAATGAAAATTTTTGAGATTCATTAGCAGCTCCTATTTATTTGGTTAAGTTAATAATTAATGGATTATTCTTTATTATAATGAATTAATGGATTATTTATTTGCAGATTTCAGGTACAGCAATGGTACTGGATGAGATTATCAACCATGTACAGTCCCTACAACGTCAAGTGGAGGTCAGACTTGTACATTCCTTGCATCTGATTTATGAATGCTAAATTTAAGGTGTTCTTTTATCCTTATGGAACTTCTACTGATATCTCTTCATTCCTAAGGATGCTGGTCCATGTAAGATTTTCATGATTTATTTAACTGCTGAAATTTTGAGCTCAATTCTTTTATTTATTTCGTTTTTTTTTTTTGGTGCCCAGGGTGGGGGAGGGGGAGGGGGAGGGGGTTGGGAGAAGCTTGTTCTTAAATCTTCCTTGGTGAATGAATAAATAGGAAGTAAAAAAAATAAAATTGTAAGGTTGTGTCTAATAAGATATTTAACGTGAATTGCATATATGTACATGTATGTTTGTCTACTTCTTCTTCGATGCAAAACAAAGACTGCTTAGGTTGGATACCCATGAGGATACACTTTCTTTTCCTTTGGTTGAGTTGCTCTAGATCATTTGGTTCCATGATAGGCTGTAAATAACTATTTGTGGTGAACCAAAATCCAAAATACATTATCAAATAGCCCTCTGATGGATTAGAGCATCTCCAAGAGGCTCTCTATTCACACTTAACTCTTTATTTTAGAGAGTTAACCACAAAAAATCAAGCTCCATGACTCTCTACATTTGGAGAGCTCAACTCACTCTCTATTTTATTTTTAATGAATGACAAGATGACACATATACATTCCGTGTTGCGGAGCCTCCCCCACATGGTAGATCCATTAGTTCCTAAAGTAAGCGTGGATCACACTTAAGCAGTTAAGCTCTTAAATGAGTGAACCCTTTCTGATACCAATTGAAAAAAGATCGCGTACTAATGAATCTAGACCGTCGGGGAGGATAAATAGGTCTCAATCGAATTCTTTCAAAAATGATTTTACTTTTTTCATTAAGTGTTATTGACTATAAAACTATTTTTCTACTATAATAGAGAGCCTGTTGGAGTTGTAAAAAATATTTCACTCTCTATTTCAAAATTTTATCAAAGATGCTCTCTATCTCAAAAAAGATTCTCTCTAAAATAGAGAGTACTATTGTAGATGCTCTTAGATCTTTGATTATCACGTCGAAATCTTATTATTATTCGTTGTCTCGATCATTTTTCTGATCATGAGTTTGTTTGCACTTCAGTTGTTATCAATGAGACTTGCTGCTGTTAATCCAAGAACTGATTTCAACCTTGACAGTCTCTTGGCCGTAGAAGTAAGTATTATATAACCATTTCTCTTACTTGTCTGTGAAATAATAATGCTAACATAAGGTTCTCTAGGCTGTGTTGTTTTTATTTTGAATGAGTTGATCTGAGATAACACTTTACCTTGTAGCTAGGATTTTGTTTGACTTGGCACCGTGGGTTGGACAAAAATTAACACATCTTGTTTATATATCAAGACACACCAGCATAGGTCAGCAAATGTTTGTAAACTTTTTTTTGGCTATTTGTTTAAAATTTAATTAATTATGGCTCTCTTTTTAAGCCCCACCACTCAAGATAACAAAAGGACTACCATCAATGTGAGCAGAGCAGGGGGGGTCAGACTTGGACCACCTGTGCTTATCTGCCCTCTGTGCACGTTTACATCTCCAACAGTTCCTTAGAATGCAATATATCAAACCAAAATACAACAACTTCCCAATTAATATCCCAAATTTTGCGTCCCAAATCAATATAGATGGTTAGATAGTGATCTCATTAGAGAAAGTTAGCAGGACCTACTAATCCAACCATCTACTCTGATTTGGGATGCATAATTTGGGATAAGATTTGGATGCTTAGTCATTGGTCAAACGGCAACGGTCACAATGATTTTTTTTTATTTGCCATAAGGTTTATTGATATAGGACAATTTTGTGAAATAAAAATAGGGGTTGTTTAGGAGCTGTGAACAGTAATGGTACTATGAACAGTACATGAATAGTAACTTTGACTAGGAATCACTCCTAGGGTTAAATTCTGAAAATTACACATAAATTACTAAATACTAGCAAACAAACTTAAAGATAATTAAAAATAGGACTCAAATAAAGCTATGCAAGGTTCCATATAAGTCTTTTTCTTCATGGTAAGCCAAATTTCACAATTTTTCACATCTTTGAATTTGCCTCTTCCTGAGCATCTTATGGATTACATCAGTTATTTTTGTGGGACTCCAAGAATAGTGGGCCCCTATTAAAGGTCACAACATGAAAGGATGGGCATCGCAGAAATCATTTTCGACCCTATGTGCAATTCTTCTAGTTTGTAAGAATGTATAGACTATCAGGGAAAGGTTTCTTGTTTTGATACCGTGTCTGAGAGTCAAAATAATCCTCTAGTGCAATGGGACTGGCAATTCTGTGCAGTTGGTAATGGAGCACGATGCACACCATTTTATTTTTGTCAAGACAGTAAATCCTTCTCAAAAGCTGCACCAAGTGTGCCTTTGAATTTTCCCAGTCATGGTTGATATCTGGTGATTGCGATTTAGTGGTACACATACAAAATAAAAGAGATGCAGTTTAGTAGAAAAGTTAAGACAGCATGCAAAGTCATTAATTTCATGTCCATATATTAACGGCTGGGGGACCATTGAATTCATTTTCGTCATCAATATTAAATGTTCATTTGTACAAATTTTGCAGGGTGGATCTGTAATGGACAGTAACTCGCCGCTGGTGGTCATGCCGTCAATGTGGCAAGAAGGACAAATAAATGGAAACAGACAACAGTATCAACAACTATGGCATTTTGATGGACTACAGCAGCCAGTGTGGGTTAGGGAAGAAGACAACAACAACTTCACTGCTGAGAACTCACTTCTAAGTTATGACTCTTCTGCAAATTCGGGTAAATCTCGTTTTGATACTACTAAGCTCACTGTTCAATGTGTTCATTTATCCCTTTCGATATTAATGAGTTGGTTTAGATTCTAGAATATTGGTGCACGCTAGACATTTGACATAATCTGCCACATTCATATTTCCAAGCAGTGCATCTTGATACTTAACATTAGGCAGAGTTTCAAGAGAGCATAAAATTGAAATCCTTATTTTGTGAAGACCGGCCAAACAGTGAGATGAACCATATTTACCCTAATATTAATCCAATGCAACTACAATGACCCAAAAATGAAGAAAGAAAAATTGGTGAAATGAAGTAAATTTACTGTTTTCTCCTTTCTCCAACGGTCTTCTAAAGAGGGAAAAACAGTGAAGTGAAGTGAATTCACGCTAATATCAAACACCTACAACTACAAAGATCCAAGAAAAAAGAGGAAAGCAAAACAGTGAAATGGAATGAATTTACCCTTTTCTCCGTTCTCCCAAATGCTTTCCATTATAATTTCATTTATGTTAGCATTGTTCATTGGCATTGCTCTCCCCCTGCCCCCACCCGGCCTAGAAAAGGAAAACAACCACGAATACAATAACAAAATGAAAATAAGAAGCACAAACTGCCAATTGCGAACTCTTCTCTTATAAGAAAGCATTTTGGAACAGTAAGTTTAATTTCAGATTGTTGTGATGGCACTCAGCTCTTTTGCTCCCAAACCAGCTGAAAATGGAGATATGAAGGCATATTGAAGCTCTGGTCGTAGCTAGCAGTGTATATATTAGACATTTTCTTAGCCAAAAGCGTGGAACTACGAGGAGGTCTCGACATTCAACTTGGGTTTCTATTTAACAGTCAGATGGAAATCCAGATTTATCTCAGCTTAGAAAGGAGAGAAGGCAGTATGTATTCTGAAATATATGGTAATACTAACTTAGAGAGTCATTCAATCCGAACTTGATTTATGAGATGATTGATTGATTTCGTAATGTGAAAACATGAAACAAGTCGACGCTTATTGTATTTATAATTATATTAGGGGGAGCGGCTTTTTTGTCGTCCTTTGCTGTTGTGTAATACTGGCATCTCTTCCTGAAATGGCTGAGGATGCTATAATGGTGAAGGATAAGCTATGATAGTTTGTGGAGACATCATGCCACATTATGCTTGTTTTGGCTGCAAATTTTCGGCTGTCTATACCATGGTCTTGAATAAGGCTAAGCCATAGGTCACTTCAGGATTGTGTCGGATCTAAGTCGTGTATTGTCAAAATTTGCTTGACATATACCTCACGCATCTATAATTGTGTATGGTTGATTCTGTATCACGTTGGGTTTGTGTCGTGTATAAATCATATTTAGTGCATGGAGTATATTATGGTTGTATTAATTCATTTATTTGATGGTTTTAACGGGTCTAACCATTTATGATCGTGGACGACAACATGTTTAAATTGTGGGTTGCCCTTCATTCTTCGACCCAAACATGTTACACTTCTAACCCCTAGTTTTGCATCTTAGTGGTGAAATACAAGTATTTTGCCAAAAGTAGTAGTTTTCATGAAAAAATATTTTCAATCCAACACTTTTTTAACAAAATAACTTGCATACCAATTTTTTTGCTTTGTTAATTCAAGAATTTCTATATGTGAATTACAAGGCAAAAAAATAAGACTTTGCGAACAAAGGTTAATATGAGAATTATTTTTGAATTTGGAATAGTTTAGTTCAACGAGACAAAGATGCCTTCTTAAGTTAAAAAATTTGGCTGAACTCAACAAGAACCCGAAATAGTGAATATCAGACTATATTTTGATCGGTCGTCTTTGTTATTCTTTTTTATTGTACCTATGAGTCACAAAAATTCAAGTTCAAAAAAGAAGGTCAGCAAAGACCGATGTTGTGAAAATAAGAATTATTTTGTATAAAATGTTCAAATGTTCAAATTATTTTTTAAAAAATGTTATTTTTGTTGGCCACGAAGATTTTTATTTTAGTTCAATGGTCACGGTGTTTGAATCAATTTATACATATATTCATTTATTTTCTCTTTAATAGAGTAATAAAAAGTCATTCGCACCAAAATTAAAATATTGACGATGATAATTCCTCTGATTAATGGGCATGAAGTTTGAAGCCTAGGTTATGGATGATAAAACATGAAATATGAAGCCGGCGATTTCTCGACGGTTAGTGTTCGTTAACAATACCTTGGGAACCTGAAAATGCTCAAGAAAATCACTTTCTTTTTCTCTCACTCCAAACAGGTATTTCCCTTCATCTCAACCCACTCATATACCCGCCAACTAACCTCCTCTTCCTACCCGCCAAACCCACCAAGTTTAAATACTTTAATCTCTAGCGGTAACCTTAATTATGCCTTGTTAGAGATGGCACTACAAGGATGTGAAATGGGGTTCAGAGACTATGACACAATTTTAAACGAGTGCGTGAGCAAAAGGGCCTTTAGAGAAGGCCAAAGAGTTCATGCCCACATGATCAAAACCAATTATCAATCGCCTGTGTATTTGAGAACAAGGTTGATTGTGTTCTATACGAAGTGTGAGCGTTTGGAGGATGCGAGGCGTGTGCTCGACGAAATGCCCGAGAGGAATGTGGTTTCTTGGACGGCAATGATCTCGGGGTATTCTAAGAGAGGGTATGACTCACAAGCTCTGAACCTTTTTGTACAGATGTTAAGATCAGGTATCCTTTGGAAATACACGTCCCACTAGTGCATCATGGTGCTGGTATGAACTTTCATTTTCCCATTTGGACTTGGTAATTGTAATGTGTCGTTTCATATGGTTCCAGTCGGGAAATGCCTCAAATATCTACCTAACCTGGTAGATCCTCGAGCGGATCCCAAGTTAGCCCACATTGGTTAATCATATCTGCACCAGTAAACTAGTATGAACTGGTAATTGATTGTAATCTTGTAACTTACCAAATNAATCATATCTGCACCAGTAAACTAGTATGAACTGGTAATTGATTGTAATCTTGTAACTTACCAAATGAAATTGAATCACATTGAGGAAGAAAAATAGATGCTGATATGATTTCTAATCTGTCTGAGTTTGAGATTCAAAGGTAACTATTTGCCTGTGGATAAGATGGCTATCTTTTTCCTGGCGTATCACTGAACTTTGTTGTTTAACAACATAAGGAATCAATTGGAAGTGTGGTTATTGATGGACATTTCCATATTTTCAGAATATATGTACATATTGGTCCCAAGACCAAGAGAATTGTTGGGTTTGATTCGTATAGGAAAGAATAGGTTATTGGACAAGCAAAAAATTGAATATGTTCAGGGACTAGTTTTTATGCAAGGGGTCCTCATTGCAAACTCATCAGATTTAAAGAACCAAATGGTTTTATTTTAAACTAAGAACTAGTGGGAATAAAAGACCTATTTTTTATGCTCATAAAAACAGCATTTTATTTCCTATAGCAGGACAAGCTAGAGTCCTTAATTTCTAACTTTACATGCAACTATCCATTGCAGTGGTACGTATTGATAGTAACTCAAAAGGACTAGAACTTTCTTCTTCTGTATTCTGAACAATGTGTTGATCATAATATGAAATTCGTGCAGGTACCGCACCAAATACATTTACTTTTGCAACTGTGCTTACCTCTTGCACGGGCGCTTTTGGGTTTGATCATGGAAGCCAAATCCACTCTCTAATAGTAAAGTGCCTATTTGAATCACATATATATGTTGGTAGCTCACTCCTTGACATGTATGCCAAAGCTGGTAAAATCCATGAATCTCGAGGTGTTTTTGAAGGCTTGCCAGAAAGGGATGTTGTTTCTTGCACTGCCATAATCTCGGGGTATGCTCAACTAGGTCTTGATGAAGAGGCATTAGGGCTATTCCGGAGGTTGCAGAGGGAAGGAATGACTTATAATTATGTTACTTATGCCAGTATTCTGACTGCATTGTCTGGGCTTGCTGCATTTGAACATGGCAGGCAAGTTCACAACTATGTTCTTCGGTATGAAGTACCCTCCTATGTGGTTCTTCAGAATTCTCTAATTGATATGTACTCAAAATGTGGAAACCTCACTTACTCGAGAAGAATCTTTGATACCATGTCTGAGAGAACTGTTATTTCATGGAATGCAATGCTCGTGGGGTACAGTAAACATGGAAAGGGAAGAAAGGTCTTTGAACTTTTCGAGTTGATGAAGGAAGAAAATAAAGTTAGACCTGATAGCATCACTCTTTTGGCTGTATTATCTGGTTGCAGCCATGGAGGATTGGAGAATAGAGGGCTGGAAATTTTTGATGAGATGATGGGCAGAATTGATGGGGTTGAACCAACAATTGAGCATTACGGATGCATTGTTGATCTGCTTGGTCGTGCTGGCCAAGTGGAAAAAGCTTTGGAATTTATCAAACAGATGCCTTTTGAACCAACTGTGGCCATCTGGGGTTCGCTTTTAGGTGCTTGTAGGGTTCACTTGAATGTTGATATTGGGGAATTTGTAGGTACTCAGCTTTTAGAAATAGAGCCTGAGAATGCAGGGAACTACGTGATTCTTTCTAATTTATATGCAGCTGCGGGGAAATGGGAGGATGTGCAAAGGATAAGGGAGATGATGAAGGAGAAGGCTGTAATAAAGGAGCCAGGAAGGAGCTGGACTGAGCTTGATCAAACCCTTCATACATTTTATGCAAGTGATCGAACACATCCAAGAAACGAAGAGGTATTTGGAAAGGTAAGAGACTTGTCAGCAAGGTTCAAGGAAGCTGGTTATGTCCCTGATTTGAGTTGTGTTTTATATGATTTGGACGAGGAGCAGAAGGAAAGAATTCTCCTTGGCCACAGTGAAAAACTTGCTTTAGCTTTCGGGTTGATTAATACTCCTGAAGGAAAGCCTATCCGTGTCATGAAAAACCTCCGCATCTGTATTGATTGTCATAATTTTGCCAAGTTTGTTTCAATGGTTTATGAAAGAGAAGTATCTTTAAGGGACAAAAGTCGATTTCACCATATTATCAGGGGTGTCTGTTCATGTGGAGACTACTGGTGAGTTTTGAAGATTCTTTGAGGGGTAATTCTGGATGCCATTTTCTAAGATGCAAAAAATCTCCTATGCATCTGAGAGTGATCTATCACATTCATGAAAGGAAGAGGTGTTTGTAAAGGTAAGAGAAATATCAGTCGGGATCAAGGAAGCTGGTCATCGTCCTGATTTGAGTTTTGTCTCGTAACAATGTTAATGAGATTAGAAAAAGATTCTCCTCTAAGGACAACATTGAAAGATCAGGTTTGGCCTTTGGGGTTTGGTACTCCTGAAGGAAAGTCTGTTCTTCGTGAAAAACTTGGCATCATTGTGGTCACTATAATTTGGCCAAGTGTCACATATTTAGAAGAGAAGTATCTCCAAGGTATAAAACAATGTGCATTGTTTTTTGTTTATGCTCATGGATGTAGTTTTGTACTTCCATTTATAAACGATATGATGAGNATGTGCATTGTTTTTTGTTTATGCTCATGGATGTAGTTTTGTACTTCCATTTATAAATGCTATGATGAGCTAACCAAAAGATGGGTGTGCTACATTGAGATTATTCACAACGGCGTGTTATTAAACAGTATTGTGATTTGATTAGCCTTTTACGAAAAAATAATAACTGCCTGCACCTAGTACATTTCTCCAGGTGAAGATCCACTATACTTGCCAGAAGACCGGGAACCAATGACAGTCTCTTGTTTATAAGATGGGGAACCTGGTGTAAGGATAATTTAGAATTCGAGGATACAGAGGTATGAACCTATAGAGACGATCCTGTTTAAGTGTGTTTGCCAGCCTAAGGATACTGGGAAGGGAATGATTCATAGAGGTCAGTCTGTTTGGTGTTCCCTCACGTAAAGGGCTACTTTTGCATCGGCTCTATCTCCTTAGGTAATTACCCGGGCGAAAGCAGCTCTCTCGGAAGTTAGTTTCCCTGCCATATGAGTGAGACTAGTCTAATAAATTTTCCCTTAAGCTGCCAAGACATTTTTTTTTGTTGTGGTAACGCCCTTCGGTGCTTGTATGGGTAGCCTCGGATAATTGAGAGTTCTGGACTTGAATTCTCAAATATACTTTGAGATAACAAAGCTGGAAAACTCATGAGCACTCCCTGCAGAGCTATGGTTGTATGGAATTGGGGCATGCTTGTAGATGAATGTAGTTAAATGAAAGGGAAAGCAGGATTTAGTGCAGAATTTTCAGCCTCACTTAGAAATTTTAACTAGAGGCTATTTAGCAATAGAATTCTACTTTTAGTCCACCCCAAAATTCAAAATTTTAGTACTCTACAGTTTGATAACATTTTTTTTTTTAAAACTTTTAAATAGATTGTTTTCTTTTTTCTTTTCAAGTCTCTGTTTTTTGTTCGAGTATTAGGGTTGCACTCTACATATTGATCGCTTTCGTAACATAGTAATTAGACACAATTTGGTTTTTATTTTTATTTTATAAACAATACTTAAACTAATGTTACCAAATGAGGCATTGTGTTTTTTTTATTAAGACACCTATTTTGTAAACAAGTAAACTCAACATGATATGATTAATATATNTATAAACAATACTTAAACTAATGTTACCAAATGAGGCATTGTGTTTTTTTTATTAAGTCAACTATTTCGTAAACAAGTAAACTCAACATGATATGATTAATATACGAATCGGGTATGAATGAAATTAATCAAAATAATACATAAATACGATTTGTTTATATATTGGTTATACATAATTTATAGAATTTGATATAATACGACTCGTTAAATATGAATTCATCAATGAATTAAGTATAAATGAAATATTTTTTGACACAAATTCAATAAGATTCGACATGNTATACATAATTTATAGAATTTGATATAATACGACTCGTTAAATATGAATTCATCAATAAATTAAGTATAAATGAAATATTTTTTGACACAAATTCAATAAGATCCGACATGAATTTATTTCACCCGACACGGTTAACAGTCTATTGTAAAGATAACAAAAAAAAAAAATAAAAATTGACAGATTTTGCCAGGGTGTCATGACAAAAATCACATACTACGACGGCGTTTTGGAAATAAAATTGTACGAAAGGGAAATCCTCAATTGGCAACTTACAACGACGTCGTAATTGTCAGTGACACTCACGCAAGACCACCCTTGGCAAAGCCAGATCCAAGTTAAGCTCTCTCGGAGTCTCTCTTTCTCTCTCCTCCAAAAATGCCGTCCCCAAAGACCTTCGCGAGCGCCGCAGGCATGCTCCGAACAAGGCTGAGCGCCACCCTTCGCATCCGAGGAGGTGGCGGAGATGGCCCAAGCCGGTGGGCCACTCCCGGCCACCAAAAACGCCCCAACGGCTATTTTTTGAACAGAACGCTGCCACCACCAGGTCAGTCGAGGAAGTGGGAGGACTGGGAGCTGCCATGCTACATCACGAGCTTCCTCACCATCGTCATCCTCGGCGTTGGGCTCAACGCCAAGCCCGATCTCACCATCGAGACCTGGGCCCACCAGAAAGCCCTCGAGCGCCTCGAGTCGGCCCAACAGTTGGCGGTGATTTCTGATGAATCCGAGTGATTCTCCAATCTGGGTACGGGTAATTTCTGATATCAATTCAGGGTTTGAAAGATCATCTGTTCATATTGTGGTGTAGTTGGGAAAATAAGGGTTTTGAATTGTTCACTGAGCACTTACTGTGTTTTTTCTTGTTTACTCGAATTTTGTCTGTTAGTTTTATCTTATTGCAATGAATATGTTTCAATCTTCTTAGAGAATTTCTGTGATTTTCTTAACTGAATTATGTGGTTTTTGTGTCTATTAAGTTACTGGATTTAAAGATTAATTAGAAAAATCTATTAGATCGAATACCTTTGGGTGCTAATTGCTTCATTATTGAGTTTTTTGATGTCAAAATTTTGGGAAATTTCGAACCCCAGTATCCTTGAAATGGGTCGTGTTTGACCTTATTATGCTTAGTTCCCAGTCATCTTGTTCATAACTCTTTTCATGGAAGACTTTTTAAGCTGTTTGTTGTTGACGGCGCAAAACCATTTTCAGTGTTGTGCTCTTCTTGTGCAATTCTTATGTTGCCATGTCTTTTCCAAAATCTTAGCCCGTATCTATCTGACATATTCCGACTTTCTTTGTTAAGTTTTTCCACCTCCAACTTCAATTGCATTTACTCGCTCTATTTCATGTGTTCATCAAACTTATGAACCTGACCCACCTATTTCTCTCTTCATGCGGATAACTGTGTGTGCATGGCTTCTAGTGTAAATTACGTGGGAGTCTATAACTTGTGTGCATTAAGTTTCATTTTTAGATCTCCCAGGGTTTTGACTTTGAGATTTCCTGGAGTACTTGCTAGCCTATGCCTCACTGGAAATTGTATGTTTTTTTAACAAAAAATGGTAATAGCAGTCCTAATTGCCAAGCTTCGCTATGGACTCTATGTAACTGCCTTCCTTTTTCTTTTTGTTGTCTCCATTTTTCTTAATTTGTGAATGTAAATCTTATGAGAAATTGACCAGTGTAGATGTATTCGATTGCGCTCTGTACTTGACAGAATTGAGCAGGCTAATGCACTTATAGTATCTGAATGCTTGTTAGTTGTCCAATTTTGTAAAGCTTCCATTAATGAATGAGACTAGATGTAGTATCTAAATGAGACTTGATCTTGTATATGATGTTAGTCAATTTATTCGATTACTTATCCGGCAAATACATAGGCTTTTTCTTTCCCTGAATTGTTACTGACAGTTTTCTACTGCAATGGTTGCTACTACTCATGTCCCAGACTTGTTTAAGAGTTTCTTTTGGTCCGAGTAATTTTAGCTCTATTCTAAATCAATTTGACAAAACCTTTATCTTGATTATTGTTTCGGGTTGACTATATGAATCTTGTAATTTTTAGATAAGTTTTTTGTTGTTTCTTTCCACCAATGACTAGTTTATAAGACAGGTTGACATAGGACTCTTGAAATTTACCCAGAACAAGACATAGTACATCTCCCCCCCTCTCACACACACACACACACAAAAGACAGCCCCATTTAAGTTGAAGGAACGTCCAACACCTTCCTGCATTAGTGCAGAATGCTTCCTGGACCTCCTGCTCGTGTCCAAGGAGTGCCTTTTGACCCGCTTGGGCGGTGGATCTCATTTTCTTGTTACCGGGCGTGTAAAGTTTCTAACCATGGAACTGTGTCTTATTTTCCAGCTTGAAATAAGTACCCTAAATTTGATGTGGGCTTTGTCCCACATCCATTCTGTAAGAGTTCAAGGTGTGATTAATAAAGTTCACGGGTCCTTTTTTAGTTAATTATCTGTAGAATATTATGGATTTGTGGGTCCTGTCTTTGGTACTCACTTTTCTTCTTCTCTATATTTCTTTTATTTTTGATGATCTCGTTATTTTCTTACTCAAAAATAGAAATAGAAAAAAAAAAAAAGCTTAATCACTTAACCTTTTTTTTTTGGGTACATTGGAAAGTTAAGAGGGGTCTGGTAGACCCTTTCACAAAAGAAATGCTAGCTTAATCATTGTTTAGAGATTCCCCTAATGAGCTAGGGGGAGAAATCAATGTTACAAAAGGGTATTGCTGTAGCAATCCCAAAATTATGAGTTTATCTGCATCTCTGTTTCCTTCCCCGAGGGTGTGTATGATGGAGACTTTGAGGAAGGTTAGTAGGTTCTTGCAGTTGACAATGAGTGCTCTGTCTGAGTGGGTGTCCTCTGTGTAGTTGGTAATAAGCAGCCTGAGTGCATCCAAGGGGTTTGTCTCTAATACCACCTTCTCAATATTCCTTTCCAGGATGAGTTGAAGTCTTTGAGTATAGCCCACAGTTCAGCTTGTGTAGTGGATGGCTCACTAATCCATCCAAAGAAACCAACTCTTCATAGCTCTTGATCATTCCTGATGAGTCCTCCTACAGCAGCTAGTCTTGGATTTCCTTTGGAGCAGCCATCGGTATTCAACTTCAGCCAGCCCGCAGGTAGGAAGCACCACCCAATTAGTTTAGCTGGTTTACTTAGCATGTAAATTTGATTTCCATGGAATGCAGTGGCTGTTTGAGTGGCTGGTTGCCACGCATTCCCAACCAAAATCTGAGTATGGGTCTTTGCTTTTTCAATGCATTCTTTATTTCTATCCTTCCAAATGTGCCATAAAATGGAGGTAAAGATAATTGGCCAGTCCACTCCTTTCCATAAGGAATTCTTCTTGTCCTTGTGGTTTCTACTCAGCCATCCATGGAGATCAGTTGATTGGTCTGCCAGCCTTTCTTGTCTGTTGAGGAAGAAGGAGCTCCACAGTGTCTGGGCTTTAGTGCTATCCCTCAACAGATGTAATGTTGTCTCAGTGTGGTTATTACATCTTTCATAGGTTGCTTCTCTGGTCATGTTTCTAGAGCCTCTTGAGATTGTTGGTGAGAAGTCTATCACTTTGTACCAGCCACATGAAGCATCTAAGCTTCTGTGGAACTTCTAACTTCCATATCCATTCCCAATTCACCCTATGTGCCATTTCATTGTCACTCAGGGTTATCAGTTTATATCAAAGTTTTAAGGAAAATTTGGAGGCCGGTNCTTCCATATCCATTCCCAATTCACCCTATGTGCCATTTCATTGTCACTCAGGGTTATCAGTTTATATCAAAGTTTTAAGGAAAATTTGGAGGCCGGTTCCCTATGGATTTGTTTGGACTTAAGTCCGTCAAGGAAATTTATTTGTTATCAAGTCTGTTTTTTTTCAATTTTATTATACTATCCCTTCCCTTTAGAAGTGAAATAAAATTAAAAATTCCTAAATCTTAGGAGTTTGACTAACATTAAAATTAAAATATTTTCTCTCCTATATTTATTTATATCTATATATAAGGTAAAAGTTTGACTAATATTAAAAAAATTTTTGTCTCTTATATATATATATTATATATAATAACATTCAAATACAAAAAATAGTTATCATTTGGACACAAAAAATAATACATTTAAACACAAAAAAAATAGTAGCATTTAAACATAAAAAAAAAAAAACATTCAATATTAATATTTTTAAAAAATAACAACAGTAACATGTTTAACAAAAACATTAACATGTTCAACAAAAATAGTAACATATTTAACAAAAATTGTAAAATACTTAACAATAATTATTTCTTTCAAATTCAAATGCAAAAAATAGTACCATTCAAATACAAAAAATAGTAATATTAAAAAAATAATAATAACATTGAATATTAATATTTAAGAAAATAATAGTAGTAACATGCTAAAAATAATAGTAATATGAACAGTAACATAATAAAAAAAAACTAATAACATAAATTTGAATGTTACTATTCAAATTCATAGTAATTTTTTTTTTGTATTTGAATGTTACTATTTTTTATTTTTAATGTTACTATATATATATATATATATATATACCTAACCTATATATGAATATAGATAAATAAGAGAGAGAAATTTTTTTAATGTTAGTCAAACTCTTAACCTATATGGATATAGATTGATATTAGAGAGAAAGGATTAATTTCCTTTCAAGGGAGGGTATTTTTGAGATAAAAAAAAAAGTGGACTTAAGTCATTACATATAATTTTAAATATGGACATCTAGGGGGATTCACTTCTAATTTTCACTAGTTTTAAAACTTGGCCCGAATATCAATCCGGCAAATGGACCAGGTTAATGAGTTACTGGTTTAACCGTTGAGTATTAAATAGGCTAAAAAATTATAATATTTATGAAAATAGCATCAAACATGTAAAATTAAGTAGAGAAAAATCCAAAACCAGAAACTCACAATTAATTAAACCCCACAAACACACCAATTTTAAAGTAATAGTAAGATACATAGGGCAATAAACCCAACAAAATCTCATTTCATAGCATCAAAGACCACCATATTTCTGGATTCAAGCGTACAAATTTCTAGCATCAACAACATTCCCACAATCTGCTCAATTAATTTCTAGCATCAACAATCTGGTCAATGAATTCCGATACAAAGATTGTTGATTGTTCTTCAAACACGGAATATAACACCTATTAAACCCTTAAATTGTCGTGGGTCTGATTATGTTGTTGTGGAAGTAGTGAATTTCGAGAGCTTACCTGTTTTAGCTTCTTGAAGTCGTTTGCGAGCCATGGAAAGAGAGAAAGAGAGAGAGGGGTTGCTGTGACTGAAGCTTTACAGGTCAGAAAGTAATGTAGAAGAATGTAGTCAATGAAGTCGTAGTTGTAGTCATCGATGCCTTCGATTGAGTTTACTGAAACTTGTTCGCCGCATGTTCGATTGAGTTTCGTTGCAACTTGTTCCACAACTCCACTTCGATTGAGTTTGAGAGAGAGCGACTCAGGTTGACTGGCTGGAGGGTCGTCGACCGTCGGCATTGCAACAAGGCAGCGGGAGGCGCAGAGGGTGGCTGGGTGGGAAGGACCGAAGGAGTTGATGAGTGATTTAGGGCAAAATGCCCAAAAGGGGCATTAACTCTAGCATTTTTAAAACACTGGGTCACCAGGTTCAACCTGCTGGGCCAAGTTTTAAAACACTGGTTTGTATACAGATTTGGTTGAAAACTTACCATTGGTAGCTGGACCCCAGCAAGTTGTATCTTTGTAGTTTCCTAAATGCAACAATGGTGTGTGCACAATCTCAGAAAGGATATTATGTTCCTGCCTCCTCCAGTTTCCAATTACTGGATCTTCTGTGGAGAATTGGAATTACTAGGTACTTGCCTAAGTTATCTGTAAGTGTTATGCCACTTCTCCTGCTCAAAACCTGAGCCTGGCCTTTTGGCCTGTGAGATTGCAAAACTCTACCCTTGGCCTGTGAGATTGCCCAGTATCGATCAATATCAATACGAGTTAACCTAATTATGTCAGAGTCATAATCTTTTGAGACAATACTATTATATGATATGTATAAATTTGAGTTTCACGCGACTCGACCGAGGCATCTAAGTTGTATTCAGGTTAATCCAAAATTATCGAGTTATTGTTATCGAATTGGTCGATATAGTTCAACGACATTGTTGCATTATTTGAATTTCTCAATCATATTTAACATTTTTTTAAATCTATAACCCGATATTATGACGTGACATTGCGACTAATTTGTCTTGTAGCTCTTCAAGTCAAATAATTGATACCGATATGTTGAACCATGTTGTGCTATGCAATTGCCAAGTGTTTCAAGGTTTGAATTGTGACTTTCTGTAAATGGGCCCCACGTTGCTTTAGTCTCGATCTCAGTCCAATTACTGTAACAAATGCAATTGAACCGAATCGAACTGGAGCATCAAGAATCTTGATCAAATCGTGTCGTCGTTTTTAGGATGTGTGACTCTTGAAAAGTCCTCCTATTGTATCATTTAAAAAAATAAAAATAAAAATAAAAATAAAAATAAATAAATGAGAAAGACAACTGCACGATATTCACTATTTTAAAGTTCACAAAAATCATTCAGTACAATTTCCATTCGTATATCTTCATCTGGACCCACTCTCGACAGCTTCTAGTGGCTAATGAGTGTAGATGAACATGGATATGTTTCTAACGCCACAAAAATATTATTGAATTTGTTCCAATTAATTAATAAAATATACTAGGAAATAGATTAAGTGGTCCTAACTTTAACTTTCACCTTAAAGTTCGTAAAATAATTAGAAAAAGGTCATAGTTGTAATGTTTTTGAAAAAATCAAAAATTGAAATTTAATTAGATTGAATCACAAATTCAAATATTTCAAAGTTACAATTCAAGATTGACTNTCGTCCTAACTT